GAGAGCAGACAGGACACTTAGGCATCCCCAGCAGTCTGGCAAAATGTGCCTGTCATCTGAGCATCTTCAGAAAACTGAATTCTAACAACAGGGTTGTTGGGAGGTGCTACCAACAGCTGCCTGACAGTCACCTACACAGGACAAAGTACTACTATGATCCCTTTCTGCCCCTGAGGATGGCAAAGAAGGAAACAAATGTGGGGAGACCAGAGGGTGAGAACACATCAGGGACCCAGGAGGAAGAGAGCAGCCTAGGGCAGCCCCTGTGGCTCAAGGAGTAGGGTGCCGGCCACATATACCGGAGGTAGCGGGTTCAAACCCAGCCCCGGCCAAAAAAAAAAAAAAAGAGAGAGAGAGAGAGAGCAGCCTAAGAGGAAGACAGGGGCCTAGGAGGAAGAGGGGCACCCAGGAGGGAGAAACCCAGAGGAGAGAGGGGCCTAGGAGAGTGACCTGGGGCCAGTGAATTTCAAAGGGGGCAGGTAGGAGTCATACCCCCAAGGAGCTACAAGCCAGAAGGGCCTGCTGGGTCACCCTGTCCCCTGCCCTGTCACAGACTACGCTGACTCTATGTGCTGATGATTAATTCCAATTCCCTACAAAGTCAAAGCCTTTAGAGACACAGGCATCAACAAAGCCAGAGTCGGAGACGGCTAAGTCTTTCCCTCAGGATCCAGGGAAGATTCTATCTCTGGTAGGGGGAGCCTCTGGGGAAATGGTGATAGCTCCCTCTCAGGGAAGGCTGGTGTGGGCTGCAGGCCATCTGGGTCGTGTCCCGGCTCTGGGTCTCTGCTGATGTCTCCTTCTACTTGTCTTTTTAGGGAGAAACTCAGTAAGTATGGACGAGGATATCAGGCTTACAACAGCAAAGGGTGGGGAGCACAAGGCAGGCCCAATGTTAAGGTATGAGCCGAAGAGGGTACAGCAGGACAGTGGCCGGGAAGGACACACAAGGCCTCTTCTGGGCAAATCTGTGTGAGCAAAGTCCAGCGTGGCCTTCCCAGTACAAAGCAGGAGTTCTCTGCAGCACACAGTCCCCACGAGAGGATTCTGAGCTCCAGATGGCTGGGGTCTGGCAGTTTTCAGTCATTTGGGGGAGTGGGGGTGCTCAACAGACCAGAGCAGAAGCCAAAGTCGGTCCTAACTCTATAAATCAGGACACGAGGATCAGAAACATCTGGTTAATCGGGAACCAAAGACCGGGTCAACACAGGAGCTGGGTCTGTTCCTTAAAAGTTGCTGTTCCAGCAACTTTGGGGCTCAGGCCAAGCTCCAGTCTGAAGTGGGTGCCCTGGGAGCCGGAGCCTGCCCATGCAGCCCTCTGTGCAAAGCGGTGTGCCTGGCTTGCTCTCGAGGGGGGCGTCTTCAACCACTCCCTTCTTCTCTGGAGGAGTTGGGCTGCCCCAAGGCTCTGGGCATCTCTCATCAGGCTGGGAGTACAGGCCATTCTCCCAGGCCCTCATTCAGCAGTGCAGTGACCAAACCCAGCAGACAGGAGGCAGTGTCAGTGGATACCTCCTCTCAGAGTGACCTCTGCCAGTGGACACCTCCTCTCAGAGTGACCTTCCATGTGCCAGCATGAACAGAAGAGGGGGGAAGAGTCCATGGAAGAGGGGTGGGGAGGGAGGAAAATACGTTTCTATAAGAACGGGTCTGCACAGGGAAGCAGGGATGAAGGACAGGTATGGCTTACTGCCCCTCTACCCAGTGGAACACCCTAGTCCCTAGGAAACCCAGTGTGACTACCTACTAGTGTCCTTCAAAGACAAGGCCTCCTCGCCGACTCCTCTCTGCTCTAAAATTGTGGGGGAAAGAGCTCCCACTCTAGACCCCTCTGTAATCACCAATATTGTTACCAACAACCTCGCAGGACAATGAGAATGGGAAGTTCTGGAGGTGAAAAACGTACCAAGGTGTTTTTAAAAAACAAAATAAAAAAGGATATATATATTTTTTCATTATTTTACACCAGAAATGGGCTGGCTCACCATGTGTGGTCCAGCTGGGAAATGGTCCTCACAGGTGGCCTCAGGAGAACATCCTCAGCGTACTGGGAACAGACGCTGGTTTGAAATTCTGATGACTCGGGTATCCCAAATCACAGTCTGAATGCCATCAGTGGCCTGTGGTCCCTGACACTTGGGAGAGCCTAGCCCCACTGTACCATCACACACGAGGGAATGAAAGGCCTCCTGCCTCCCCGAGGCACCACTGAGGCCTTGCACTCTCCCCCACTTAGAGATGGCACCCTGAGGTGCTAGGGACAGACAGCATTTCCAACTGAAGGCAGGAAACTGTCCTGTCACCCTTTTTCCACTCCTCCGAGTAGTTCACCTTTAGAAAAGAGTGTAGACAAAGACAAAGGCACACAGAAATGAAAAGCTCCCTTACAAACGGACATGTCTACAGAAAGCAGTGTAAGGAGTCAGTCCCAGGGTATGGGTCCCAGCTCTGGCTGTTTTCTAGTTGCAATCACTATCTGAGCACTTCTCTGAGCTTCCATTTTGTCATCTATTAAATGAGATAACCCCCACATACACCACAGTTATTTCAAGGATTAAGGATTAAATGACTATTTTGAAGTCCTTTTTTTTTTTTTGGAGACAAAGTCTCATTTTGTCACCCAGGGTAGAATGCTGTGGTATCACAGCTCACAGTAACCTCAAACTCTTGGGCTTAAGCGATTCTCTGGCCTCAGTCTCCCGAGCAGCTAGGACTACAGGCACCTGCCACAATGCTCGACTTTTTTTTTTTCTTTTTAAGAATCGGGGTCTTGCTCTTCCTCAGGCTGTTCTGGAACTCATGAGCTCAGGCAATCCACTCGCCTCGGCCTCCCAGAGTGCTGGGATTACAGTGTGAGCCTTTAATGGGCTATTTTAAAGTCTTTAATGATGATGGGGAAATGCTCAGGACAACAGGCCACTCAGGCACCACAGAAGTCACTGTCACAGGTCATTACATACAGGAACAATGAGAGGGCGGGGAAGAGGAGCAGAAGTTAGAGACGGCGCTGGGCTCTTCTCCCAGTCTGGCCCTAATGGTAGCATGAAACAATGTGTCTGAATTACTTTATCAAGAAAAATTACCCAAACGTTTAAGTCTAAAAAAATCAGAACCACCTTCCATCTAAACATGGAGCCCAGTAAAAAACACTGAGTGCAGCCTCCTAACACAATAGAAGGCGGAGGCCGGCGTGACAGGCCCATTCCCCTGTGGGGCTAAATCTAGGGAACACTTTCTTTCCTTTTTTTTTTTGAGACAGAGTCTCACTCTGTCACCCAGACTAGAGTGCTGTAGCATCAGCTTAGTTCACAGGAACCTCAAGTGATCCCACCTGCCCCAGCCTCCCGAGTACCTGGGACTATAGGTGCCTACCACACCTATCTAATTTTTCTATTTTTACAAGAGTCAGGGTCTCACTCTTGCTCAGGATGGTCTTGAACTCTTCAGCATAAGCAATATTCCTACCTCAGCCTCTCAGAGTGCTGGGATTATAAATGTGAGCCACCGTGCTGAGCCCCAGTGAACACTTTCCAAGGAGGAACTTTCCACTTCCACCTTCACACTCAGCAGAACGGGCAGGCTGTCTTCCTATAGTATTCTGAGATGCTTCATGAGGAGCATATAAAGATACACAAGGGGCCAAATAGGTCCAAACTGCTTTTAAACCTAATTTCCATTTGAGAAAGACTGAGTGTGCGCACCTGCTGGTTGACTGAGCTGTGTGCACGTGCAGGACACGGGAGACGCTGGCATGACCAGCTCCTCTGCCTGGCTGCCACCCCCCCCTTGTCAGACCTCATCCCAGCGTCACCACCATGAAACGAATGAGTCTGCTCCCTGTCATATCCCCCCAGCACCGACGTGCTCAAAGTCTGCTGCCCTTTTTCCCACAGTGGAAGTGTGGCAAGGGCAGGGGTCCCGTATGGGGCACGTGCCCAGGACTCCGGGAACACCTAGAATGTGGAAGGCTCGCAAGTGTCACAAGCGAATGGGTAAGTGCTAGACTCTGCTAAGGATGGCTCTATGTCCCAGGCCCACTGCTTACTGGCTATGTGAACTTGGGTGAGTTATTTCACCTTTCTAATCTGTCAAGCTACCTGTAAAAGCATGAGAACTGAGCTTATGGTACAGGAAACTGAGGAACTTTTGCAGACAGACAAAATTTGACTTTAATCCTTGGCTCCGTTCTTTGCCTTGGACAAGTACCTTCATCCTTCTGATCCTTAATTTTTCTTTTCTTTCTGAGACAAGAGTCTTACTATGTCACCCTCAGTAGAGTACCATGGTGTCACAGCTCAGCAACCTCCAACTCCTAGGCTCAAGCGATTCTCTTGCCTCAGCCTCCCAAGTAGCTAGGACTACAGGTGCCTGCCACAACACTTGGCTTTTTTTTTTTTTTTTTTTTTTGGTTGCAGTTTTTGGCTGGGGCTGGGTTTGAACCTGCCACCTCTGGCATATGGGACCGGTGCCTTACTCCTTTGAGCCACAGGCACCACCCATGCCTGGCTATTTTTTGTTGCAGTTGTCATTGTTTCGCTGGCCCAGCCTGGGTTCGAACCCACTAGCCTCAGTCCATGTGGCTGACACCGTAACCACTGTCCTACGCACGCCAAGCCTGATCCTTAATTTTTCTATTTGAAAAATGGGGAATAAAATACCTACTGTATATGTGGAGATCTGAGACAACGTGTAGCAAGTATCTGGCGCTGTGTCTTACACGCAGTAGGTGCTGTGCCAGAGGTACTGCTGCCACGGAGAATTATGGTGTGGAGTAAAACACAATTAACTATGCACGCAGCAGTGATCTGAGACTGAGTCATCTCATAACCCATGCAGTAATCAAATGGTGCCCTGCTTCCTGCTGTGCGTGGCTCCTAAGTTTAGTCAGGTGAGCCAGGTAGTAGATTCCAGGGAGACTGCTTGGCCTGGTCACACTGCCATTGAGGATGTGGCTATCAACGTCACAAGCACTGAAGTGCACAGGGAGAAAAGCAACTCACAGGTCTCGGTACTGGTCAAAGGCATTGTTGGCTTCTACCTCCAGCTTTCTCAGCCGAGCAGATGGCATGGCCCCATCTTCCAAAGGAGGGTCATACTTATTACTCCATGGTGACCTGGAGGGAAGGAAGGAGAAGGATATCACTTGAGTTGTGGCCTATGACCGGTAAGCCCAGCCTGAGCCCAGCTGTCTGACACCTCAGAGGCAAAGCCACTACCTACAGCAAAGATTTCTCCAGGCCCTGGCAACAAACAGGGCTTTCTGGAGGTCTGCAGAGCAAGGGCTCAGGTAGACGAGGCATGAAGCTGGGCTCCACCTCTCACCAGCTATATATTTTTTGCAAGCATCTCAACTCTCCAAGCCTCACCTTCCTCATGGGTAAAACGAGGCTACTATTTGCCAACCACAGGGCTGTTGTGAGGCACAAAGGACATGAAGCGCCCAGGCAGAGCCGGACAGACCGTCAGTGTTCCACATTAGCTCTGTCCTAGCCCATTTTCTAAGCTTCCTTGTGTTCACCACCTTAGTGGTCAACAGATACCTGCCTCTCCTTCCTGACCTGACAGAGGTTCTAGATAAACTTTTATTCCAAAGACCTTCCCACACAGTGAGTATTAAGAGAGCTGTCAGTTTTAGAAGCGGGCAAGAAACACAGCTCCACAGGGAAATGCTGATTACATTAGCAAACCTGATGATGTCCCTGGAAACAGAGGTCAGCCTTCCCAACATCCAGGGGCTGTGCACACACACAAAGGCTGCAAAGTAATGAGAACCAGCCTCTTTGCAGCCCAAAGACTTGTTGCATTTCTTAAAATATATTTTGCCACATCAGGAAAGCATTTAATCACACAAAAAAGTGGGCAGGGGGTTGCACAGAAAGATCTACTCATTAACTCCTGCAGGTGGGGTCGGAGGCTGGGTGTTCAGAGAAGCAGAGAATTTAAAAGCTGAGAGAGGAACGAAAAGAAAGAGACAACAATAAAGAATTCAGGAAAAAGTCCTTTGTACCTTGCGTCTAAACACCTCAGTTCTTCCACTATCAACAGCCCACCCTGCCTTCCCTGTTTCCCCTGCTGGCAACAGACCCGCAAGCCGCTGTGATGCGGGACTCACTGATGGTGAGGAAAAGGCGGCAGGATGGTTGTCTCCGGAACCCTGGTTCTAAGGAATGTGTGCACAGACAAGTTCTGCCAGGCACCTATGTCAGTAAATCATGTCGAGATGAAACAAAGAATAAGCTGGGTGACCTTTTCCATGCGCTACCCTAGGGGAAAATTCACTGTGTCTTGGTGTCTCCAAAAAAAAAAAAAAATTACGTTGTTAAAATAATAAAGTGTTGTACACTCCCCCCAGTAGAAGTAACTCGCCCCCCCCCAACACATGTCCACTGCCTGTGATATTCTCACCCTTCCCTTACCCTAGACCACAAGCGGCCCGTGAGAGCAGAGAGCCTGTGGCTGCCTGCTCTGACACCCCAGTCCCCAGCATCGAGTGGGTGCTCAGGGAATGCGGTGGATGGGCTCAAGCCTCACAGCAGAGGGCAGGGAAGAAAGGACCCACAGGAATTCCACCGTGTCCTCCAAACCAAGAGATAGGCAGCTTTTTGAGGACATCCGAACATCCTCCCCCCCCCAAAATTTTTTTCTTCAGATCTTGGAGATAAAAGATCCAGGTGCCCTCACCACTTTGTAAATTTCTAAACAGGCTCCTCCACTCACCAGGGAGAGTGGGCAACAGTCTGGGACTGTGAACTTCAACTCCCTCCTTCCCTGTGTGTCCCCTTTGAGACTCCTCAGCACACCCCTAAGCAGGACAGTTTCCACAAAGGACCGCTGCCTTCCTGTGGGCCTGGAAGACCCAACCCAAATGGCTTTCATTTAGGCAACCTGATTAGACACAAGAGCCCATCTCTTGTGCAGACTGAGGGCCTGCAATTTTCAAGAAGCCTGTAACTCACATTTCCCCTGGCTCACAGACGACAGCATTTCAGGCTGTTAGTCCTGGAGCCGGGGTAATTGTAGCTGGGGGAAAAATCATAACATTACCCAGAATATTCTTAGTGGAAGGGGCACTCAGAACACATTTAAGAGCTTAAATGGAGGCCATTTGAAAAAAGACAGATGGACAGGAACGCTTAGATTTCAAAAGTCAGGCCTTTCATTTCCCTCCGAGAAGGCTTTTTGTTTCAGCTAACAGGTTTCAAACAGTGCTGCTGGCAGCAGTCACACCATAAGGATCTTATTTAAGCAAACGATCAAACACAGTTAGGATGGAAATGTGCGGAGAGGATCAGAAGACCTTGAAGTTTCCTATTGAGAAGGGAGAAGGAAAGACAAGCGCTCTGGCTTGCCATCCTAGGCTCCTCTCCACAGCACTGAGAAGCTCCAGAGCCCTCAGTGGTGCAGGCGGGGCCAGCAGCCCCACCTGGAGGACCTACAGGTACCAAGTCCCCAGGAGAGCCTGGCCTGACCAGGACATCCTTCCACAGGCTCCTGGAGAACTGCTGTCTTACGCAGCAAGTGGGAGTCCTCAGGTGGCAAGAAGAAATATATCATGACACTGATGAAGCAAGGCTTGGCTCAGGGACCACATGTTCCAGTAAGTGTTCTCTGAACCCCAGGCCTGGAGAGACACTTCATGGCAAGATGTTCTCCACCACTTACACACTGGACATCTCTCTCCAAGGGCTGGTCCACCCACCTCCTAGGAGGCTCCCAATGAGGACTGCACCTAGACACCACGCCTATGACCAGAGAGTTCCAGGAGCAGAACAGGCCCTTCAGGGAAGAACTTGACCAACCTCAGAGCAGTCACATGTCACTATTCCAGGGCACCTGAGGTCACGTCTGCAACCCAGACCTCTCTCCTGACAACCCAGATGACACATCCACAGTCTCCTTGACATCTCCACTTACATCTAACGGGCACCTTGAACTTAAAGTGTCCCCAAGCCAGCTCCTCCCAGGATCTTCCTCAGCTTAATCAAAGCCCCAAGATCACGATCTACATTCTTCCTCCTCCTCTTTCACCCCATCCACCTGCAAATACTACCTGCTCCACCTTTGAAATTTACCTCAAACATGACCTTTTGACTCCAGTCTCTGGCCTAGATTAGGCCAAAATATATTCTCTATCTAATTTCCATTTGAAGCTAGGACAAGACCATTATTATAAAACAGTTGTCTAACCTATTAGGAAGTCAGCATTAAACTTTTTAATGTATGACAAGTTCTGTGCTATTCAGCATTTCACATGTGTCATTTCTTTTAATCCCCCCAATAACCCTGAGCTAAAATGCCATTACCCTCAATCTGGCCTTCAAGACCCTGCCAGGTCTGCCCCTGTAACACCTCGGCCCTCATCTCTGCCCTGCCCCCTCCTTCTCTGGTCATCAGCCATCTTGAGCCTAAGGAACTCATCACGCAGGGCCTTGGCACCCAGCAAGCTCTTCTCCCAGACCTGTACACGACTGAACTTCTTCATCCTTCAGTCACCATGTACAGGAGAGCCTTCCCTGTCCACCTGTCCCTTCTCTACCGCCCCTGGTCCTCTATTTTCTTCAGTAACACTTTCACAATCCGCTTCATTTATGCACTTCCTTACTGTCTGGCTTCCTCATTAGGTTACAGGCTCCACAGAAGACAGACTTAGATAACACCTGGTATATAGCACCTGCTTAAAGAAGGTGCTACCGAGCATTCTGCTGCATGAATGAATACTATTATTTCCATTTTATAAATGTGATAAATAATTCATCAAAGTCCCATTAACATAAGGAGCCGTGCTGATCTGAAGCCCACACGGGCTGACCCCAGATAATCCTTCCTGCCCTGATTTCTCAGATGCCCCACTCCCCCTCCAAAGAGAGCAACAGGCTGAAGCTTCCGGACCCAGCCTAGGTTCTTTACCTACCTATAAATAAACCTACAGCAGACTGCATTCCTCTATCTCTATGACCTTCTCCAAGGTAATGCTAGAGCAATCCATCATGGAAATACCAGTCTGGTTCAGGAACTCCCACTCTTTTTTAATTGCAGTAACTTCCACATAGCTTTAAAAACTTTAAACACCCAGATATTATCTCCCTCCTTTACGAAGGCCTCCTGGAATCAACCATGGCCTCTTCTGTGCTAACCCCATGTCCTGAACAGGCTTTGCACCGGCTGCAGGAACCACATCACACAGTAATCAGTTACTCGATGCGTGTCCTGTTCTAGACCGAGTGACCAGTCTCTCAGGGGAGGGACTAATGTCAACTCACTTATTACAGCCCTTGGCACAGTGATGCAAAGAGAAAGGAGAAACGTATTATTTGGCAGAGCTGGGTTCTACGTCCCTCAGCCACAGAGGCCCTGCCTGCCCTCAGGATTCAGGATCTTCCTCATACGTATGCCCTGTATGCTGCCCTCAGCAGGGCGTGACACAATCACAGCAGCTGAGTTTGGTAGCAACATCTCTCTCCCCGTAGACCAGCAGCTCTCAATCTGTGGGTCATGACCCACAGGAACTGTATTAAAGGGTCACGTCATTAGGAAGGTTGAGAACCACTGCCCTAGACCGTAGGATCCCTGAGCGTACAAGGCCTTTTGTCTACTGCTGTGTTGCCAATGAGTATTGGAGGCACTCGCCAAACTCCTGCTAGATGACTAGAATAAAAGATGTAAGGAGGAGAGAAATGGAGAAGGGAAGAGAGGAAAGGAGTGCAGGGCAAGGGCAGACAGAAAGGGCAATGGGCTGGACTGCCAGCCCATCCAAGTCCAGGGGTCCTTCTGCCGCCACAGTAAGCAAGAACGGCTGCTCCTGAGGGGGGCTGGGGTGCCTGCTGTATTACTGGGGCACGACTCACCTATAGGAGTCCCCATCTCTGTTGTAGTCACACAAAAGGTAATCCTTTCCCACCACCTTGTCTCTGGCAATTTTCAGTGGTTGGTCAACAGAGGACAGGAGATCTTCGCACAGACCCGGGACCTGGCAGAGAGAAAGGACAAGGTGGAAACCATCATTAAAATCACACACCGAACCCAGGCTGGCTAATGATTTTGTAGCCACGTTACAGTCAGGACATTTAACATCTGGCCCTTGGTTCCCTGCCAAAACTGTGGGCCTGTTCTTTTCTTTTCTGCATGTGTTTGACACCAACTGTATCCCTTGGTAAAGAGACCTGTTCTTGAATTACAGTGGAGCGTGATTTCCAACATAGCCTTGCCTTCCAAAAGCTGTGTGCAGCTTTAATTACCTGGTCACCAGGGTGGTCTAGTAAATTTAAGTGTGTATATGCTTGGTATTGGTCTCTGGTGGGCACAGTACAAGCTGAAGTCCCGAGAAGTAGGTAAACATTTCAAATACACAGGAATCTGAAGAACTCTGAGAAGAATAACTCATCCGTGCCGGAGAACTCCCACAGGCTCCCATGCTGGGTGGAGTTTCCAATAGTTTCCAGGCCCACAGCCAAACATTACCAGGATGGCTTGTGGAGTCGCCCACATTTGCAGCGAAGGTGGCTTCACACCGGCTTTCTACAGCACAGAGTTTCAGGCCGTCTGGCTGGCTTGCCTAGAGGTTGCCTCCTGGAGAAGGACAGCCACATGGTCGGGGCAGGCAGGACTGAATCTCAGGGCAAATGAGGATTCTGACATGTGGCCCTGCTAATAATCGGGCTGCTGGCCTCCTCCTCTCAGCTTAAACATCAATTTCCACCAAAATATTCCAGAAAGGGATGGTGGCACTTTCAGAAATGGATTCCTTCAGGCTTGAGTCACTTCCATGCTCTATTTTCAATGTGCTGACTTATTCGTTTCACAGGCCTGGGTTTATGAGGGTCCCGCCGTATCATTTACCAGCCAAGTGGCTGCCAACTGCACCAATAACCCTTCCCAATGGAAAAGTTAAACTGAACAGCAAAGACAACAGCAGAGCAGTTCAGAGAGGGGCTGGCAGCTACAGCAGTTCCTGTGTTCCACCAGAAGGTCCTTGACCACCACCCAAAGACAGGGGAAGGGAGCCCCGCTACCAGAGACCACCCAGCCTCCACAGCTGCTCAGGGCACCTCTGCTGACCCCAGGGTGCTTTAGAGAACTCAGCTTGTAAAGCTCTGTCCAGCACAACCAAAGGAGGGCATCCTGTCTTGCAGCTCACATCAGTTCCGGGCCTAGTGAGAAGAGCTGGCTCTTGCACATGGAGCAGCACCCAAGTGACAGACACATCACTGAGCTGTGCATGGTGTGCTTGTTTTCAGAATTCCGGTCCGTGCAACAGCTGCCTGTGCACCACCCTTCAAACACGGGTGCTACTTTCAAAGTTAAGTTGTGGTGACAGTACCAAGGCCCCTGCCATTTCCAAGCGCCTGCCACATTCATGCAGTATGCTGGGCCCCTCATGTAGTGTGTACTTGAAAGCTCACGCTCACCCTGGGAAGCAGGCATGTTCTGTCCCTATTTTCAGAGTCATTAAGTTGCCCAAGGGCCACACGAGATGTGAATGTTGGAGACAGAAGCAAAAATCAGGGCTTGATGACTGTAACTGTAACTGTGTTTAATGTATAGCCACAGGGAAGGACAGCCCATGCCAAAGACACACTCTGGTGGCAAACAGCCCCAGAGCCCTTCCCCTGGCAGGAATGCTGGCTGCAGAAATGAAGGTCTAACAGCTTTTCCTCAAGGCAACTAGGATCTGGAAGTGGTCTCACCCTGCTGTCACTGAAGTGACCCTGGGCACCTGCTATCCTGCCACATCACAGTCTATCTCTATATATCTCTATTTATACTGCTCTGGGCTCACCTGTTGGGCCCTAACTTTTGCCTAAAACCTCATTCTGCCTGGTTAGGGCCCGGACACTACTAGCTCAATTTATCCTGGATTATGGAAAGGGAGTAAAAGCAAGTATCTCTGAAGTTAGACCTTCTGACTCCACCTATTACAAGTAGGTTTACAGCCTTGGGCAAGTCATTTTTCTCTAACTAAGACTTGGTGTCCTTATCTGTAAAGTAATAAAAACAATCCATTGGGTCCCCAGCCCATGTGATCCGAGGATCACAGGAGAGCATGCACTCAGGCTCGCAGAAATGCATACACATTAGTACCTGGCACAGTCAGAATCTCACTCTCCTCCTTTAGACTCAATACCATCTGCTGTCTGTTATTCTCAGAACGCAATGCAGGTCTACACCACACTGAACACACTGTGCTGCCTGAGCTCAACTGAGGCCGAGAATCCAGCTCTTAACTCCAGTAGTGCCTGGGCCAAGCTGCTTCCCCTTCCCTGCCAACCATGCTGTCTGCAGCTAAGAGCGCCACCGCCCCCCCCGCCCCCAAACACAGGCAAGTCTACAAGATACCAGAGTCTAGTGCAAAAGACACTTCACTGCTATCCAAGAGGTTAATCTAGGGATCAGATGTATTTCGATAATGTCTTCCTAGCACTGACCCTAATTGAAGTTATTTTTTTCATTTATCAGTTGTCTGTCTCTCTCACTAGAATGTCAATTTCACCAGGGCAAGGCCTTCAATCTTAATCAGTGCCATATCCTCCATGTCCCTGGCAGTGCTTGACACACAGCAAATGCTTACCATATCTGGAAGGGAGGAAGGAAGGAGGGGAGGAGGTTTACAACATGGAGCCTCCCAAATTCTAAGCAACTTTATTTAAAAATTAAGAAATCAGTGTGCATTAAGAATCTTTACCGGCTCGGCGCCTATAGCTCAACCGGCTATGGCACCAGCCACGTACACCTAAGGTGGCGGGTTCGAATCCCCAGCCCGGACCTGCCAAACAACAATGACGGCTGCAACCAAAAAATAGCCGGGCGTTGTGGTGGGCGCCTGTGGTCCCAGCTACTTGGGAGGTGGAGGCAGGAGACTCGCTTGAGCCCAGGAGTTGGAGGTTGCTGTGAGCTGTAATGCCACGGCACTCTGCCCAGGGGGACAGCTTGAGGCTCTGTCTCAAAAAAAAAAAAAAAAGAAAGAATCTTTACCAAGAGTTTGTGAGCTAAAACTAGATGGAAGCTAATGATCAATTTCACCCATGGTCCATATTTTGTTTGTTTGTTTGTTTTTCTTTCTGGACAGGAAGTAGGATTTATTATTGGTAGGCACAAGTGAGAGGAAGCACAGTGTTAAGTCCTGGTGAGTGCAGGGCCTCCCACTTGTCCAGGGGGCCACGACTGGGGATATGTTTGACCCCATAGCCATCTGGGATGAGCTGCCCCTCAGCCACCATGTCTTCAAATTCATCTGCATTAAACTTGACAAAGCCCTACTTCTTGGAGATGTGAATCTTTTGGCAGCCAAGGAACTTGAACTTGGCCCTGCATAAGGCCTCAATCACATGCTCCTTGTTCTGTAGTTTGGTGCAGATGGACACGATGACTTTGCCAATGTGAACCCTGGCCACAGTGACCTGAGGTTTTCCTAAGGCACCACACTTACCTGTCTGGAGCCTAGACTGGGGAGAGCACAAGGTCTAACACATGAACATGCATTAGAAGGGATTGTCTCCAAGGCCCCTTAGAGCAACCCATACAAGCAACAGGCTGCATACACGACCAAGGAGGTTGCTGTTCGCAGCCACTGCACACCAGGTCCCTATGAGGAAAGGAGCCTGGTCGGCTTAATTAGCTGCGGATATGGTCCATATTTTCAAATATGAACCATGACATGGTAGCAGACCACTAAACAAAGAGCAATGGAGTTTCACTTAAAGCAGTAGCTTTATTAATATATGACCTTAAGGAGCCACTTAATGGTGGAAAGATTGAGAACTAAGAGACCTGGGTTCTAGCCTCTGCTCTGCTATAAACTTATAATTTGTCAAACACAGTGGGTACATCAAGACGCACCACCCTTGAAGATTTGTGCCTGGATTTTTTTTTGAAAAGTCCACAGCCAGGTGTTAACCTCAGAAAAATGTACATTTAAACTCAAAAGGTTGTGGCAGGATACAGAAAAAAATAGGGAACTCACGAACGGTAGGTGGTTTATCTGTCCCACCATGAAAAGCATCTAGGATTTAATAGGGCCCCAGCAAATATAGTTTTTGCCTCTTTGAGAACTCTGAAGTTGGGCCAGAGTTTTATACTGCTTCCATAAGCCCTGTTTCTTTTTTTTTTTTTTTTTTTTTTTTTGGAGGGGGGGGGGACAGTCTCTTTTCTGATGCCCCATCAGACCAGTAACATAGCTATCAGCAACCTCAAACTCCTGGGCTCTTGCCTTGGCTTCCCAAGTAGCTGGGACTACAGGTGCCCACCACCACACCTGGCTAATTTTTCTATTTTTAGTAGTGACAGGTTTTTCTCTTGCTCAGGCTGGTCTTGAACTCCTAAACTTAAGAGATCCTTCCACCTCGGCCTCCCAGAGTGCTAGGATCACAGGCATGCCCCACCACACCTGACTGCCCCGTTTCTTTAGATCAGCAGTTCCCAGCCTGTGGGCTGCAAACCACAGGAACTGTATTAAAGCACTGCAGCATTAGGAAGGTTGAGAACCACTGCTTTAGATCAAAGATAAACCGTTCGTAGGGAATGAGAAGTGTGGAATACATGGTGTGCCCACTGACTTGTACCGAAGTAGCTTTTCCCAAAGTGCATCAGTCCTGCGCCGACACCACTTAGAGATCCCATCTTGCACCCAACATGCCATCTCTCCAACTCTTTCCTCTGCCTGCATGCTCTCAACCACACCATCCTGCTCACTACTCCTTGAACACATGTGCAGGTTTGCACATGCGTGTTTCTGCTTAAAAATCTTCCCCATTTAGGGTTGCTGGATAAATACAGGATGGCCAGTTAAATCCGAACCTCAAATACACAGTAAACATTCGAGTGCAACTATGTCCCAAGTGTTACACAGGGCACACGTTTTTATTTGCTAACTCAGGCAATCTAACCCCAGTGCCCTCTTAAATCCTGCCCATCCTTTGAGGCCCTGCCCAAACTCCAACTTCTTTATCAAGATATCAAATTCTTCAGAGTTCT